ATGAACTGTGCATACTCAGGCACTAGGTCCAGCTATGAATGCACAGTTAATAGCTTAACAAAGATGCCTGCCTTCGTATGGTTTTCATTCTTTTGCAAATAGTGCTAGGCTTGTCAATTAAATCCATCCTTTAAAAAGATTTTACCAAACATATGTACTGCTCATTGAGATTCACTTATTGTTATCTTTTCAACATGCTCTTCCAAGAAAAATAAACGACCCAAGATTGTATTATAATAGGGGACTTTTTTTTTTTTTTTTTTTAATCTTCTCTAAGTACCAAACAGCTGACAGGATACTGTAAAACCCTCAGGGAAAAAAAAATCTTTTAGGGAGAAACTGGTATGACAATTTGCAGCCTCAAATGTACTTAMGGCTAGATTTTCAAAAGCACAAGCTTTTACCTCCATTTCTGCATCTTAACATGAGATCCTCAAAGTCATCACAAGATCTTTCAGATATTCTGAGCAAACTTAACTCTTACCAACTCCAGCTAGAATTTTTCCTGTTCAGTACTTCTGCACTTGTGCTCTGCACTGCTAGGAGAATCAGGGAGTTATTTCTTGTTTTTCTTTCCAGTGTTTCCTCATAGTAGAAACAGGCTGAAGTGATTCTTGATGGCTTATGGTCAGAGATGATGCAGCTCATAAAGTCAAAAACAGGAACCAAATTCAGATGGTGGAAATTGCATCTCAGTGTATGAGAAGGAGAGCTAGTGAGTGAAAGCTTGAAAAGYAGACAGATGGTTTGCATTGACCAGGAGGAGTACTGTAAGCTTCAGGTGCCCCCAAATGCCGTGAAAAACAGCACTAGAAACTAGTGGTGAATAAGATATCTAGAGGGATCCAAGAAAACAAAGGCTTTTGCGTCTGCTGGAGGTAATTTGGGAAAACTTCAGGTGCATTTTTGGTGGCTGAGAGCATCATTCATACCTGGAATAAAACAACATTCTAGATTTTTCCTCAGTGCAAGACTTTTTTCTTGAGAAAATCTCTTCACAGACAATGAAAAGAAGCTGGTTCCATTATAAAAGGCTAAATAATAGAGAGTATTCTTTTCTATTTTATTTTGGGTAAAATAAATGGATCCCCCTCCCCCAACCCGGCCAAATGTAACTGCTCCAAACCTGAACTCCTCCCAGCATTCCTTTCTATAACTCTTAATCAAACCCTTCCCTTCTCCCTGAGCAGGCAGTCCTTAATTACATTTTACAGACACATCAGCGCAGCACAAGCTGGTCAAAACAGCTGTGGGAGAGTTTTCACTTTGAAGGAAATATTATTGGTGAGGATAATTCTGTGGCCAAATGGAGTTTCCTTTCATTTGTATTAACACGGATCTTCTCTCTCCTCTCAGTCAGCCTCCATACRTACGTTTTTGTACATTTTCCGTATGTATAAATAGGCAGGATATTTTGTTAGGCCTACTGTCTCTGCTGTGGCTTTCTGGACTTTAGCCAATTTTTCATACATGGATGTCTAGAGTTCTGAAGCTCATAGGGGGAAGTTTTTGGTATAGAAATATCATTAAAAGGTTGTTATAAAATCACTTGAATTCACCAATTTATGTTCTTGCATGGAACATAGTGCAAAGTGTTTACAAAACAACAACAACAACGACAACAAAACCTAGTTCACAGATCTTAATTCAGACTTTTCAAAAAACTAGAAGACYCATTGACTCCTGCTCAAGTCAAAAGAAGCTACTGAGTCCTGCACATTTGCAAGACAACCTAAGAGAGTGTTTTACTGCTTTCAGGCTTTTCTGATTTATCCATGAGACTTTATCCATGAGACTTTAAGTACTGATAATGGTTGACTTGTGGCTAGATGGGCTGATATTCTAGTTAATGATAGTTGGTCTTGTAAACCTGTTTGACCTGAGCTCTCAGCTTCCAACTATAGATGACATTTACTTGGGTTTGCTTCATCAGGAATCTGCCTCAGGACACATGCATGGCACATTTGTAAACATTTTCCCAATAAACAATGCAAGGTGTGATTACCCCTTTATACGAGCTTTGCTGTGGTGTAAGGTTGCTTACCTAGACTTTTTTTTTCATTTACATCACTGCAAGAGAGTTTACTGCAAGACTCTAAGGACTATGGTTTAAAGAGAAAATGGAAAATAAATTGTTTACATTGAATCGTAGGACTGTGACGATTGAGCTGAGTGAATGTTTGCAAAGTCTTCTCTCATAAGGAGATAGAATTTTGTCTTTGTGAAATAATTTTCTACAGCAGACCTGTGATATGCAAAGGAATATATTCCATAATTTGTGTTTATTAAAAATTTTGCTTTTCTTTTATGTCTCTGTTATTAAATCTTTTATTAGATGTTAATGGATATTTTTCAAATCTCAATGGCTCTTAAGACATTTTTTTCAAGTAACTTAACTAAATCTCTGAGTTCTACAGTTCCTGTTTTGTTCTCGTGGTGCTCACTTCTTATTGTTCTTTTTCAATTTTTATCATGTAGCATGTAAGTACATTAAATTAGTAATGAAAAATGAAACCACAGGAGTCCACTGTATTGTAGATAACGACTGATATGTCTCTTCCCTTGTCTGAGTTACATTATAGTGTCATAACTTTCCTTTATATCCAATAATATTTTTCATTATTGCACCATCGACAGCACAGAACTGTAGGGGTTTGTTCAGATTCTAACACTATTTTCCTTAAGTAAATCCATATCTAATAACAACATTTATTTCCGCCTTCTCCTTCTTGCTGTGTGGTTGAAGATAACACACTGATTCCTCTTAGCCCTCATATTGGTTTTACAGGTGCTCAAAGATGTCATCAGCAGATATTAAAGGAGATACATCAGGAAACAGAAAAGGCCAAGATGTGGTGCTGCTGAGGGGCTGCAAAGCTTTAGCTTTTACCCTGGTGTCAAGGGCATTAAATGCAAGTTCACCATTAAAGAGCATCTTGGGGGCTCTTGCCTTTGAACCTTGGTGTTACCAGGTGAGCCAGCCCAGGTGCTAAGACCTCCTGTGTATGTGGCAGCACAGCTGCACCCTATCATTGCTGTAGCATCAGCTGCTGTATTAAGATAGAATTGGGGGCTGTTTTTTGCTTTGTTWTTGGCTGCTTTGTTTATATGCTGTTGCAGAACCTTTTTCTGCCCTTTGCTGTTATAATTTCCTGGCCTACTTTCAATGCTCATAATTGGCTAGACAGTGGACTGGTGATGCCTTYGGTTGGGTTCTCTATTGGACTGGTGTTGCTGTACTGCAGAAGCTGCTTGGTTTTGTGCAGCACCATCCTTCTGTTGTGTGTAAAATGCATCTGGGACCTTTCCTTGAGACTCTATTAGGAGAAGGAGCTCTGCAATGGCTTTGTGGTCTGTGGAAGCTCTTTGGGGCCCTGGAAATTTTGGTGCTTCCTGCCTTGCAGCTGTGTATTAGAAGCCTCTGGTAGACCATAAGGATCCCATGCACCAGTGGATTTGCTGGAGCTTTGGAGCTGTGTGGTGGCTAGCTCCCATCTCTTGTGCTATGCCATCATGTTAGCAGTTTCTCAGCAAGTAAAGTGTGAAAGCTCTTTATTTTTTTCYTGTAGGAGTGAGCTGAAGGGACTATAAATGTGTGTGCATATGGAGAAGCTCATGCTTCCCAGAGCAAATGTTGAGGAAAAGATGAGTTTTCACACAGAGGAACATAAAACAGTTAAGGGATTGAAGTGACTAAATAAATTTTACCTTAATAGCCAAAACGACTTAAGCTATGCAGTATAAAACTCTTCTTCCTGATGATCTGTTTCCTTTTGATTGAATCTTACATTATGGAGAGGAGGAGAACCTTGATACTGGTTTTAAAGGTGAATATGTGGCTGGGAACCCTCTCATTTTCATCAGACTTGAATCATCTCCCCCCCCTTCCTGCACCTCACCTTTCTTCCTTCTCCTCAGAAAAAGTCCTACTGTTGCTTCCAACTGTAGTGCAGGCAGTTCAAGAAGTGCTGGTATGTGCCAAATGTAACTTGTGACCTTGGTCTCTAGTTTGCATATCAGCCTGGGCATTTCAAAGGCCTGGCAAGTAATTTGAAGGAATGGGAGAACCTTGATGCAGTTTTTTTGCCTTTGCTATCTGTAAAGCTTGATACACATCTTATTTCTCTCCATTTGTCAATGCTCTTTGTGGCTTATTTGGTGAACAGGCTGTCAGAATCAAAGGGATGTTGTTGATCGCTTCTGCTTCAGGTTGTAATAAACCTCATTGCTCCTTGGGCAGAGGACACAAGGACACAAGTGTAGTTTACATAAGTACCTGCCATTACTTATGGTTATGTAAAGTAGGGATGAATATCTAAACCCTGGATCAAAAGCCTCTTACACATGAATGGTCCCATTAAGAGGGAAAGAAAACAAGGCTGAGCTGTGCCAGTGAGAGCATGGATCACTTCACATCTTGATTTGTGAAAGAGCTGAAGGTAAAGACAAACAGTGAAAATGTATGATGTTTCTCAAACACCCTGCTCATCAGTGGTGAAACAATCATGGCAAGAAAAMTACTCTTTTTGTGTATATTTCTGCGAAAACCGTGCATATAAAAATCTACTTAATGGCTGAAAAAAAGTTTGAAGGGTCAGGAAAAGTTTGAAGATGGCCTTAACGAAAAGGAAGGAAAAAAACTATTGTTTAATGGGAAGTGACTTAAGCCTTCTAAACAACATGTGGGCTGTATGCTCGTGCTGTATGTCAAAAGACCAAATGATCTGTTATGTGCCTCCTACTCCAGCTTGAGTGCTTTGGRTGAATGAAAAAGATGACTTAATTATTTGAAGGGGGAACCAGGCTGCTTCAAAAAAGCTTCCCCCCCTGCCTTCTCCCCCTTGAATGCCCCCACTGATTTGGAATCAAAACTGCTGTGCTTGCAAAGTGTCCTCTGCAAGCTTGCTGCATCAGGTGTGGGTTATTTACTTAATCTTAGAAAGGTGGCATAAGAGATAGACTGCCACAAAGGGCTGGCTCTTGTTCCTGGTAGGAATTGTGGAGTGATGGGATGTTTGTGCTGCTTACAGCTATTTCCTCTTTTCTTCACAAAGAAGGATTGCAAGCATAACTGGTAAGAGTGACTTAAACTCTTTGTAGCAAGAGTACATCTCTGGTCCAAGTGATGCATGTGTGGTTGATCTTACCATGAGCTGGGTAGTGGCACCTAGTGTGCTTTGTGGTAACTGCTGTATGTTTCTAGATGCAAAAAATATGCTGTTGATGCACTTTATGGTTTGGGGAAATGTGCACTTGAATRTTGCATGTGAAAGAGGAGATTTGATCTCAAATAGTTTATTAATGACACCATGAACAAAAATGCACATGGAAAGCAGTAGTTATTTTACAGTGCTAGTAGCCACAAGATGTAGGTGAGTCTTCCTAGTCTTGGTAAAAAGCAAGAAAGCCTGAAGATTTTTGGGTAGCTTTCAGTTTTCAATATGTGATTTTTTTTTTTTTAATTTTGTTTTGCTTTTCTCTTGGCTCTGTGACTGCCTCCTTCCTTGCTGTCTGCCTTTGCTCCTCAACATGAATGTTACCTCTTCATCCTCCTTGAGTTGGCATTGAAATGAAATTCCACCTGAAGCTGTCTTCTTTCCTTCTCTACTTGTAAGAGCTTCACCTCTTAGTTCTGACTGTGACTTTGGCTGCAAGGAGGCTGGAATTTTCATATGTCTGCAGTGAGGGCCAGAAAACATCCAGATAACTAGACTTTCCAATGTAGACCCTCTAATAACACTTATACASAGTAAAATTCTTCATTACAAATGAAGTTTTTAATTCTAAGCTTAGCTTGATAGAATGTAATTTAAAGCCATTTAGGATGGCTTAGCCTTCAGAGCGAACTCAAGATTGTTTAATTAGTCATGCAAGCCACTGAACACTACCCATAACACAAAACAACTAAAGTATTTATTAGTTTTTAGAGCTAAGTTAAGCCCTGCTTGTTCTAAATTTTCATCGTGCATTGTGTTGAGCCCATCTTATTTTTTTTAATCTTCCAATGCTCAGTAAATTTTATCTGTGAATAGCATAGTCCAAGTGTTGTGAGACACCACTAAAACCAAATTGAACTGTTTCTTGGTATGCATTAGAGGATGCATACAATGCTGGCAGTCCCAGGGCTGAGAGGGTTTTTTTTAAAGCTATCTTCAAAATAAAATAGTCTAGACTTTGTRATTTTATTTTTTGTTTCCTGAACCTTTTGAAATATGGCATGGTAGAACAGAATCCAACAAATGGCATTTTCTCAAAAATCTGAAATGCAGCAGTAGGTAGTCAAGACAATTGTCTCTACTGAAGGCTTTCATTAGGAAGGGGATGACATGGGAACATGATGACTTAAATKTGAACCTTTTCTGATGCAGCTGACACCAAGGAGAGCCATCAGTAATGGCTCTTCATGCAAAATCAAGATTTTGCATGATTAACAGGGTGTTAGAAGGGCTTCATCCTTCTGCCTCCATGTAGCCCTATGCTGTGGAAAAGCATGTAAGGTTTGAGCAGTGYTGGAAGTGTAATGGGTCATGTCATGCTGAGGCAGGCTTTAGATGGCATTCCTGGCTGTACCGAGCTGCCTATGGATTCTCTAAAGCAACAGGATCTGGGCTACAGTTTGTCTAGTTTGTCTTTTAAACTAGCTTTTGTGGAGAGAAACCCCTGCTTTATCAAATTTGTGGGAGAGGCTCTAGAGCCAAGACTTCATCCATGTGATGTGTTTTTTTTGTTTTTGTTTTGTTTGCTTTTTTTGTTTTTTTTTTTTTTTTTGAATGCCTTGAATCACCTGGCGAGAGGAAAACACAACTGTTTTGATATTCAAATATTCTGTAACTTTTGAATAAAGAGTGAAGGTTTTTGCTTTGACAACTATTTAGATTCTTTTCAATGCCTCATAGATCTCTCTTTGGTTGCAGCGTTCAGCTTTTTATGGGTGACTTTTTTTTTTCTTCCCCTCTCTAGATTCTGTTTACAGGGAATTGTTATGTTCACACTACTAGCAGTAACAAGAGAAAATATGGGAAGTCCTTTTTACTTGGGCTTGATTTTTTTTTCTTTTTTTTTTTTTTCTTGGAGGAAAAAAATCAACTTTGTTCAGGGAAAAAAGTTGAGTATGGCTTTATGGGTTTTATGCAGGTGTTTGGAAGCAGCTATTTCCCACCCCCTCTTGCCCCCCAGAAGAAGAAGAAAACAGTAACAGGGGAGACAACTGTTTTGGGTATTTTGCTTATTCCTTACTCACGTTGTTTTCTTCTCGTTGTTTTTTCCAGGTTTAAAAAACAAACAAAACCCTCTTATATTAGTCTATGAAAAGAAAAAAGACCATGAAAGGGCTACTCTAAAAGCGACTAATCTTATATAGAGAATAATTCAACTAGGTGTGTGCTCTACACAGCAGACTATTTCCAAATGCAATGTGACAGAAGCACCACGTGCACACATGAACAGGCATTTATTTGTCTTGTTGGGCTGCTTGTATGGGCTTGTTTCAATACAGACTTGGGTGCTGCAAAATGCTCAGGGGCAATTCTGATGTTGGGTGCATGTAGTGCATCCCTGTAGAGATACCTGAGGAAATGGAGACATGAATCGGTCCACTTGCATGGCATGGTAGTATGAGCATATTTGTACACATCTGCTCTGGAGTTGCTCTGACTCTTAGCCTCAACTCTAGGCAYAGAAAGCAATTTCCTCGTTTCCAAAATAGTCCTGGGGCTATGCCACAAGGTAGGGTTTTACAGGTGCTTTGTCAGCACCCTTAAGATTGAATGTGAGCATATTCATCTCTAGTAGGGTTCCCTGGGTTCTGTAGCAGAGTGGTGATGAACCTTGGCACTCTATTTATTTATTTATTTTTTTTTTAAGAGCCTTTGGGTTGTGAAGTAAGTACTGGTTAAAGCAAGGCCTTCCTAATAAGGTTGCGTTGGGCTCTGGCAGCCTGGAATATCAGCTCCTGGAGAAGCCTTTCTACAAGCACTCTGTTAGGACCATGTCTGTGACTTGACAGAACTTACTCAAACCTGTGCCATCTTATGGAAAGAGACGGATTTGACAAAGTGGAGTTTTCTGACAAAAGTATTTTTGGGAAAATGCTCCATTTCTATCATAAAACAAATAGCTACAATTCCTGAGCTACTGCTTGTCGTTTGATAAGACCCTACTATATAAGGGTAAAACACTTTAACACTATTGCTTGYTGATTTCCTGTCATGTGAAATGAAGTTTCTGTGGTGGATGAGAGAAACTCTTGCACATTACCACCCTTTAAGCTGCTCTGCCTTAAGGCTTTGGTAGTTTAACTTTATCCTCTTTCAAAGTTCTTTCTTTTTTT